AACAGTACATCAATCTTCCCAGAATCGCAGTGTTCCCCCAAAACCCCAAAACCCCTTCATTGATAATTACCTTAATTAAGTAGTTGAAAAATTTATTTAAAATAATAGAGAATCAATCCTAAATGCTTAAGATTTTCAAAAGATAGCTTTCTACATTGTAGAAGACTGATAAATTATTTATTAGTTCAGGTCTCTATGTCCCTGGCAATTAAGTAAGAATTTCATCATCATATCATCGATTTCAAAGGAAAGAATGCTTGCAAAATGTACAACAACTAAAGCAACTCTCCTAGTTCCAGATATGGAGGTAACCTGAATCTTACTTAATGTTCATAGGACTCAGTTCCGATACCAGAGAAGCCAAAAGCCAGAGTAATGATCAGAGATAGACTTTAGACAATGAGAGAGAATGCATTTTCTGAAAAAGTAGTGATTACACCAAGAACAAATAGCATTTAAACAGGAATGTTTGAAGATGATGTATCAACAGTGCTTAATGAAAATACATCGAAACTCATTAATGGGTGAGAACATATGGAACTAACTATATTATAGATTTTGTGTTCCAAAAGTAGATTTGCCAGAGCATTATATTGGAATAGATAGTTTTTTGCAATCACAAGAAGATTTATATAAATTGCCACGAAACCATTTAAAACTGATACCTTAGGTTGAGTCTACACAGTCATTTATTTATATGAAAGAAATTTTTACTCTTGGAAAAGATAGAATCGTGGCTGCTGCATTTGGGGCAGATGACTTCACAGCTGATTTTTAAGTTTATAGATCTGATAGTGATAAAGAACTTGATTTTGCTAGAAAGCTATTCGCTCTGACATGCCATGCCTTTGGAATAATCTCAATAGACACCCCATATGTTTAATTCAAGAATTTAGAAGGACTTAAAGTTGAGCTAGAATATTTGAAGTCGATTGGAATGAAGGCAAAATTTGCTATCCATCCTGTAATAAATTATAAGTTACTTATGCTTTTTAGACTTAAGTTGAGTTGATCAACAAAGCATTTTCCCCAAGTGAGCAAGAAGTTGTTTATTATTAAAGAATGATTCAGGCATTTGAGGAAGGCTAAAAGTTGGGAAAAGCAGCTATTGATTTTGAAAACAAAATGGTTGATATAGCTGCTTATAGACGTGCAGTAGATACACTCAAAAGAGCAGGGATAAGTGTGATGTAATGAATAAATAGGCAAACCAATGTCAAAAATATAAAAGCTTTTTGAAAATTTGAAAATTTATTTTTAAGTATTGATAAGGAATATTAAAACTTTATTTATAATTGTAATAAAAGGGCAATTTGCTACCCAAATTAATGAAAAAAGTACTTTACCTTCTTTAGTCTCTAGCTCTGTTTCTTCCTGTAAATTATCAAATTAAAGATTTATCATTGGGTAGAATGTTATAGGCGCAGCAGCTGTCATTCCAAATAACCAGTTTCCAGTTCATTAATTTCAGCAGGACTTATGGCATCCAAGTCTTTAAAAGAAGTACATAGATGATTAAGGTTTTATAATTGTTAATCATGAAAGACCAGGGTTAGACACCTATGTAGAACTCATAAATCAAGCAGGTGAACAATATGAGGAAGATAAGATCTTAGAACTCAATAAAATATAGAAATTTTAACAGTAGCCATAGACTTCTTTGAAGATAGAGGGTTTGAACTGTAATTGTAAGTTTGTGAAGAAGTTAAAACCTCTTGTAATATAAGAAGAAACAATTTCAAAAAGAGGCTTTCTTCAAGTAGAATAATAAGAATAAGAACAAGTCCACCAAAAATAAAAGTAAATCAATTATCAGGTCCCCCAAAATCAGATTTACTAACAATCCTAGTATCAGTACTATCCTCAATAAGACCCTTCTAATTATCAAGTAATAATGCAGCCCTAATACAATCCATATTATTAGCAACAACCTTAGTATTAATATGTTTAGCAATAATAGTTACCAATTCAAAATCAAGTGTCGTCACAGTTATAACAAACGAACTTACTCTATTAATACCCTATTGCTTAGCCAATTATTCAGTATTAACCTTATTAGCAGCAATAATATTAATAATAATATAAACCTCAAAGTAGCATTTAGGAAACTCAGCAGAACTACATATAAGATGCTAATGGATTGCAATATGTTTTGGTTCCAGTTTAACTTTAACAAGATAATTAAGAAGAAAAGAATTAGCAACCTTAGACTGTTTAGTAGTAACAAATGCTGCCTATACAACAATAACAATAATACCAAAACATATAATAAACTTACTTAAATACTAACTAATAATTGGGAAATCAGTATCAATAGATAAGTACTAACATCAATGCAAATACCCAATAATAATAGTAGCCACAATATTATCAGTAGCCATAATAAGTTCAATATTAAAATTAATATATTCATCAAGAAATAGAGCCAACAGACAATGGTGGAATAAGTATTTAACAACACAATGTTGGTCAGTAAATACAGTATTAGCAATTGCAAGATAATATCTAAGACCTTTAAAATTTGAATACTTAGCAAAATCAAAATGTTCAAGCAGCTTAGTATTAGCAATAGCCTGATCAAATTCAATAGCAGCAGCAACTACTACCATAATATCAGATAGTTCAACAACAATAGGTTCCTGTTCAAGGAGGGTATTACATCCCTAATTTTAATAAGAAATGAGTTTAATCCTAAAAGTTTAAGTATATAACTTCAGTTAAATTCAAAATTATGTGCAGGAGATTATAATGTGTTTTAAGTGAAATTTTAAGAAGATTGATTAACAGCCTATTTTTAATATATTTGTAAATAATTTTAATTTAAATATTAAACTCAGCAGAGTAAAATGGATCAAACCTGGAAGCAAATGGAAGAGCAAAACTATCAACCAAGCACTGAAGGTAAACAAATATCTATAAAGCTTTGTAGACCTTATGCAGCAGTACAGGGATATTATTTACAAGACATCCTCTCAAGAAGTAGGAAAGACTGCCCATTTAGCAGAAAAGAAAACTCCCTTTGGCCATAATGGAAAATTCTCAAAAGTAACTGAATCATAATTATATAAAATTATATTTTAGCATTTGTCACAGTCAGGAATGCCAAAAAATAACGGTTTAAGCACTGCAACTGACAGAGAAAGATTTATGGATAATTGCAAGGACTGGATGGATAAGATTAACTGACTTCTAAAAGTATTCATTCTGATATTTAAGCTTCTAAATATAATGTTTCATTAATATAAGAATTCAGTTTCACTCATTAATTAGAATGCATTTACATGGGGTTTTGGGGTTTTGGGGTTTTGGGG